AGTGTGTTTAAGATGGATCTAGACAATAATGGTCGTTATGTGAGAATGTCACCCACCAAAAAACTGCGTGAGTTGCCATAAAAATATACCAATCACTTCAGTCTTGCCGTGACCATGACGTGGTGCAACCCACATCGAATCATCGGCAATAAAAATCAAGTATATAGGTACTATTTACCAGTAATTGCGTTTTATAGTACCTATTTAATAGTAGGTACTTTAAATATTCAAAATAAAGTGTACTTGAAGTATACGTGACAAGACACTCTAATGTTGCCAGCACCGACAAACGTTTCCATAAACGATCAAATTTTTATACTTACTATTTTTTTTTTTTTATTTTAACTTATAATTGAATAACTTAGTATTTTTTTTTTAATTTTGATTTATAATTGAACGTATAAAATTTCATATAAATTTTTATGGCTTATTTAATTTCCACAATAGATGAGTTAACTCGTCTTCTATTAAACATAGGTCTCGCTCATATTTCACCACAAAGTATTATTTGCATCTATCGAAAAAATGTTACCGAAGAAATCGATTTTTAGATTGTCACTTTATTTTATTAATTTTGTAATTGTTTTTATACATTTCTAAATTATTTATTTATTATTAGAAAATGGATATTTAAAATCGTCTATTACTTGTACCAACTAAATTAATGATAATAATCGAGTACAATGATCTTTACTAGTATGAAAGTTCTCTCACGACTTCCTCCCACGACACAGCGGTCTAGATATTTATCCGTAATAGAAATTTAAACTGTGACTTTTTGCAAAACGTGATACTTCATTTCACATCCTACTTCTACATATGGTTACTCATGATTTTATTTTTAAAAGGATGTAGGAATTATTAGTAATAGAGTTTAGAGATATACTGGTAATCATATCCATATCCTGTCTGATCAACTTCCTAGCAGTTCCCCTTTGAAAACCATCGTATTTAATTCTTAGTCAATTTGTCATGATGGACTAACTGATCTGACTTCATTCACCTTTCTACCATAATCATATTGTAAGAAATATTCAAAATCGTTTTAATACGAAATAGCAAAAGGTGATATCTCTCAATTACAATTTATACTGATACTTTCTAAGATTAGTCAGGTTATTATGGACTGTCAGTTAAAGAAACACTAAACCCAAAAATTATAAATTTTAAAAAAATTGTGAATTTATAATTTAAAATGTGTGTATCTACGAGTATAAAAAAATTTTCGTTACTACAAGTAGAATTTTGCTTCGCAACTAGAGGTGTCACGTGCGCTTAAAAAAAATGGCCTTTAAACTACATTGAAGATACACAGATGAACACAATAACCTACATTACAGGTCCCAGACTCGATTTACAAGATTCCACTTAGTATAAAAGGAATGAATATATACCACATGCAACCAGTTGACCTTGTAACTTTGAAGTCTACTCTTGCGCAATTATTTTAAGGATGCATGTTAAATTAGTCTTTTGTTTCTTGTTACAACGAAGCCATGATCTGATCAAGAATAACAATAATTAGTGACAACCCTATATGCAATATCACGATGCAAATATTTCGTCTATTAATTTTGACCTTTTTCTACATTTAATCCTACCGTATAAAATTATAAGTTTGACCGTTGTTTATTTTTACGCTGCGGTTTATTTCTCATGCACTTTTTATACAATTCACTTCCAACTTCCAAAAAAGGTTTATGGAATTCAAATCATCAGTTCAGCTCATGTTTTAAAATATACTATAATAATCTTATATATAAAATTTTCGTGTCACGGTGTTTGTTACCAAACTCCTCCGAAACGACTTTACCGATTTTTATGAAATTTTGTGTGCATATTGGGTAGGTCTGAGAATCGGCCAACATCTATTTTTCATACCCCTCAATTATAAGGGTGACCTACGCTTAAATATATATTTTTCATTTTTTTGACATTATTTTTTATTTTTATTTTATATTGACTAAGCATTAAAAAATACATACAGCTTCAAATTTTCACCCTTTTACGATCAGCCCCTGTTTTTTAATAGCGATATTCCGAAAAAGGGTTGCAAGATGGCGATCGGAAAATAATAATTGTAGTACGAGAAATTTTCATGTATAGTTCCACAAATAATGTATATGGTAAAACAACGTTTTCCGAGTCAGCTAGTATAATATATATGGGAGAAGATATATTGTGTAATGAAAGAGTTGCAAAATGCCAGTTCAGAATAAGACGTCGTATAACTATATAACCTACTCACAAAAAAATACATCCGACTTGATATATGAGAACCTCTTTTAAATTTAAATCTGTTAAAACAATATGTAAATTTACTTTTCGGCAATGGCCTGATGCCAAAAATACACACAACCTACAACGAGATTGATAAAATGAGAAATACAAATACGAAATGTCTCTGTTTGACATATTTTAGCCGCTTCTTTTCCGTGTATTGCGAACCGAGCATTACCAACTTGTATGTATTTAAATAATGCGTTAAACAAATAGACATGTCCAAACATTGCATTGTTTTCTGGTCATTACGCATGTTACGTCATTGTTCGCGGGTGCGACGGCGCAGTGAAAGCGCTTCCGACTTGCGCAAGAGTTCGCAGTGGGCATTTGACTTGTGACATTGAAAGGTAATGACTCATCCGTGCACTTGTAATCGCTGAATTTAATGATTGTTGCCGTTAACGTAACCGCGTAATCTATTATCCCAAATGTTTTTTTTTTTTTATTTTGGACGAATTAAATCGTATTTTCTAAGATACGAGTTTATTGTTTTTCTAATGTGTTAGGAGGCATTATTATAATTTGTAAGATTGCGGTAAACCTGCATGATTGCTAATAACAGAGACTAGCGTCACCATTACTGGGAACTGAGTCTTCCTGGGAACCATCAGAATCCTCAAATCCTGATTAATTCTTGGTAAAATCCTCATCTATCATACTTCACTAGTACCCAGTAAGCATAAACCAAAAGAGGTTATCGCTCCATTTTCAACTATTAAAAAAAAATTGCGACATCTATTCAAATCTACTTTATGGCTGTGTCTTAACATGTTGTCATTACCGAACAAAGAATGGGCCCTAATCGGTGATCGGGCACGAATCGCCTCGCTTTACGAACGTTCACATCGTGATGTTGAATATATGAGTTTATAATTAATAGCCAATGAATTTTGCTATAATGACAAACTTGTAAACCTTGTATACAAGCTATAATGATTCGAATGAGATTTTGTACACAGATAGATCATATTATCATTTTTTAATATATGGTAAATCTTCACAATTCAACCACACAGATATTATAATAGGTGGAATACGAAATGTTTTTACCGACAAAAATTAAACGGTATACCTCAGAGACGCCATACTGCATCCAAAATATCCTTACATTTATCCTTTCTCTCACCTAATCATTTGCTTCCTCTTTCATAATTAAAAAAACTTAATTAATTAATTAATAGAAAATGTTATACGACCGTATAACCCTACCAAATTCAGATACAACCTGCTTGCATACTTTCTACATAAACCGTGTCGAATATATAACCTAGTAATGTAAAATGTATCATTGACAAATAATTGACATATCAAACATTTTCTATACATTAACCTGCTATGAATTTAGAAAAATGGCAAGTGGTGGTGTATCTATCGTCCTCTTTTTACTAATTATATTTGCATAAGAAGAAAAGAGGCAACCATATGATTTACAGTGTTTATTTTTTAATTCCTTCTATGTAGTTCCTTGGTCTTAACGTATAACTATACTAGTGTTGTCTGGTAATCGATAATCAAATAATCGGTACTGTCCACTCAGCGTAAAGTAAGATAAATATCGATAGGTCAATCGAATAAATCGATATGAAGTTTTACGCAATTTAATGGAATATCTGTGACCCCAATCAAACTATCAATTAATAATCGATACCCAATATGTTTTAGGCAACACTACACTCCACTCACACACTACACTCGTGTCAATCCTAAACTCTAGAAGTTAGAAATTGTAATTGAGGTGCGAATATTCTTGAATAAATAATTATTGATGGTATATAAAATTATAATTCTTAAGTCACACTAGTCGGTCTCATTAATTATGGACTGTAAACTTCAAATCGTAAACTTAACCCTACGGGGACAGTTTCACAAACTTTGTACAAACATTCAAAGTTTAGGATACATGTGGATACTTGTGTTTAATAACGGTGAATGGTTCAGTGAAATTTATACGATGATGAACAATGGAACAGATAGATATTTGAAAGAAAAAGTTTCCGGGATCTTTCTTAATATTTCCTGTGTATAATTTAAAATTTATTATGTATATGTGCTATATAGACAATGTCTCAAAAAACCGTTTAATCGAATGGATCTGACAAACCCGCCATATTTATTTTGTACCGTTTCCAATTAGCTTATTACAGTTAAGACAAACCTATAACGATTATATATTATAATATTATTTAAAGTGTTTATGCTTTGTTCCATTGTATTTGTTAAAATGTTATTATTTATAAACTCACTCGGTTTCGAAACTTTTATCTTCAGTAGAGAGACTGTTTCTCAAAGTGTGTCAGAATGAAGTACAAGTGTTTTAAGTAATATTATATAATCGATTTAATGAGGTTCTATCTAGAGGTCACAACACAAACGTGAATTTAAAATTTATAACTCTATATTGCCTAAAAATCTAGTTTTTTTTTTATGAATGATAATGGAATGGTAACCCCGCCTGCGCTATCTGTTTACACTGGCGGGGCACCAGTGAAAGATGATAGGTGAGAATGAAAAAGCAGGTCAATCGTGATGAATTCACTTGAAATTCAGCACGATGATTTCCAGGGGGGACCACGTGGAGGTTGACCTTTTTGGGCATGTTGCTAACAATGAGACTGGTAGTGTGCATTATTGACAACCTCCCCCTCCCCCCCCCCGAAATCTAGATATTTACATATATATTACATAGCAAGCAGCTACATTACTATCTCTCTTTTCAGTGCTACTAACAAGTATGGCTCTCACATACTGCGCACAAGTCGAAGACCCATGCAAGACAAAGTCACGGGTGGTCGCCGACGACAAATACTGCGACAAATACTGGGAGTGCGACAACGGCCAGTCGATCCAGTACGACTGCCCTAACGGGCTGGTGTTCGCTGGCAAACATAGGGGCGTGACTGAAGGCTGCGACTACCCGTGGCGGTCGAACTACTGTGAATACCCTAAAGTGCAAATCAGTGAGTATTTTCTTTATTGAACTTGTAAAAATATATACCGGGATGGTTTTAGATCAAGATCTAATTAAATTACCTTGTTAAAGTACCACCAATTATAAAGTAGGGTTTTCTCGGAAAGAACCAGAGGGAGACTTTGTAAAAAAGTTGTTTGCTTAGCCACCTTTGTCCCCTTCGTGTTTCTACCGTGAACCAGTTGTATTTGCATGACTGTGTTTCGGTTGAAACGTGAGGTATGTCAGTGAATTTACAGGGTACAAAGCAATAACACCTAAGTCCTCAAATATGGCATGAGGGTATCAAGGGCGAAACAGTATACTCTGATAACAGAGTATACTGTTTACTCGCCTATAGACATGAGCAGTACCATGGACATAAGTCCATGGTACTGCTCATGTCTATAGGCGACGGTTACCGCTTTCTATTAGGTGGACCGTCAGCTTGTTTGCTTGTTGTCTATGTTGCATAAAAAAAGAGATACCAGCCAACCTAATGCAGTGAAAAATTATAGTTACGATTATGTTTCACAAAAAAAAACCGATTTTAATTGTGACAGAAACAGTTTTATTAACAGTATTAAGAACTAAACTACTAAATCGATTTTTATAAAAAAATTATTGGTCCAGTCAGCAAATATATCGATATATAATCGATTTAGAGTTGACAAAATTATGGGGTAACAAACATAAAAAAAAATCCAATTAAGAACCTTCTTGTTGAAGAAAATTCGATTAAAAAGGAAATGAGCATAAATTTATATATACAAGATGAAACCGAAATTATTATCATCCGGTATTAATAATGAAAATAAAATATTTTTCCCAAAAAAACGTGGATTGAAATATTATAATTTTAAGCCACTTATAGATCTCTACCACTAACTACTATTTTGCCCATGATACTCTTCATTCGTTGCCATTCCTGAGGTCTAAGGTGTTATTCCTCTGTACCCTATAATTTCATTGCTGTTACCTTTCAAACTGCAACATATCCATACAAACATAACTGCTTCACGGCAGTAACATGAATGGGACAAATGTCTCTAAGCAGACACCTTTTGTTCAGTCTCTCTCTGGAAAAATATTTGCTAATGACTTCAATCTATATATTTTAAATATTCTGGTCTTCCTCATTCAATTTGTACAAAATTTCTTTGTGCTTCATTTTGTATAAAACTTAATTTTGCCCGCCACCTCCCAAATTTGCAACGGTGTTTTCCATAACCGAACAGTTATCTGGTATATTTACATATTTTCGACTTCTACCACAGATCCGCCAATAGGCACGGAACACTGCGACTGGCTGTACGGCATCTTCGGCCATGAGACCTCCTGCACCAGATACTGGACATGTTGGAACGGAACCGCGACAGAACAACTGTGCATCGGTGGTCTGCTATACAACGAGAACGCGCACTCCTGCGACTGGCCCGAGAACGTAGACGGATGCCAAAAACACCGTGAGTATAAAGAGAAATAATACGAATAAAATAATAGAATTTTACAAATATATTAAAATTGTAACTAAACGAAGTCTGTATAGTAAAGATATTTAAAAAATAATATGCAGGGTCGCCATGTAGATCACGGCATAGAATGGATCACCCCTTCCTTTCCCGTGGGTGTCGTAGGAGGCGACTAAGGGAACTTAAGGCGGAGGGATGGGCAGCGTCCCTCTTGAAACATATGTAAAAACCTAACTGCAGTGTCAAACCCACCTGCCAAACATGGCAACTACTGGCAAAACTCCCCTTATGCGGAAGGCTTATGTTCAGCAGTGGATAGAACAACTGTGTGTTAACGACTGAAATAATAATAATATAATTCATATGAGAAGTCTAAATAAAAGCAATAAAATGCCAAAACAATATTTTTTATAAATTTTGTCTGTATATATGTTTGTTCCAGTATTACATGAAAACTACTACACTAAATTGAATGCAAATTTCACAGTTTTGTTCCTAAAAATATAACTAGTGTATGTTTTAACTGGATACGATATGTAAAAGTGACCCATTTTATTGGTTTTCCTACTCCTGAAATCTACACGTACCAAAAGCTGGTAACGATAATAAACAAAATTCGACCTTACTAACTCTATTATAGAGCCCAAGAAAGATAAACATAAAAGATAAACAGGCTCTTAAACACCTGATTGGTGACCGACAGGTGTCAACTCTTGCATTTTATTATGTACTTTTTTATAGTGATTTACCTTTAGAATGTTTTAAATTGTAATTTCAATTTTGTATCTATTAACAGACAACGTCTGTTCTTTACTTTTCATATTGTAAAAAACGCTAATAACTGGCTGTAATAAAAAATCCATTACGCTCATTACACCTAAGCCAAGCAACTACTCCTCATTCATACACGCGTACGACAATGCTATTTTTCTAACAAACGATTAAGCATCCATCAATCATTCAACTTTCACCTTCATTTCTCGATTCAATAAGGCATATAATTGCAGGTTGCGATTCTGATTAATCGATGTTCTTTTGTGTAACTCGATAAATTTATAGTGATGTATAACAGACACAGATAATTAATCGTAAAATCGTTCATAAATTAAATCGAAATCAAATCATTAAAGTGTATATTAGAAATTAATAAACAGATTAGATACATTTGACGGCCTAATTTTTTTCTCGGGCATTGCTCATAAAATTATCGCAATATTATAACCAGTTTTAGAAACTAGATATTCATAATTATTCCAATGCGCTATGAATATTAATAAAGATATCAGTCACGTACAGACAAGTGAATATAACATGTCGACTTATAAACAAAATGTTGTCTTAACGACTTAAAATTATAATTAAACTAACATAAATAATTTCATGAAAAGTGGTAACCTTCGCTTATAGACATGAACAGCACTGGGAGCCTATGGCACCGCTCAAACAAACGGTTAGTTAAAGCAGAAACAAGTAGAATAGAGATACCTAAGTAGACGACTTTTGTGTAATTTCTCTCTGGTATTATATGCGAATATGAGCACGCTATTAATATACGTAAGCTACTAAATTATAATACTAAATTTGCATGCCTTTAGATAAGGCGAAATGTGTAGATCTATTATATTTAAGACCATTATTATTACCACATTTCTAGCAAATAAATAAATTATTATTATTATTATTATAATACTATCTGTTTCTATAATCTAAAACGTAAAAATAGCTAATAATGAAATATCGCACAAGTAGCACTACATGTTAATCTACAGAAACAGCAGCGCATAAAAAATGCCATGTAGAACTTTTCCCTTCTTCAGTTATCAATTTTTGAGCTATGTGACCGATGCTATTTTAGCTTGCTGATCCTTCCTATATTAATAACTTTTAGGCCTCTCTTAGTAATGAGGTTATATTTGTCTCATTATTATCTTTGTTTAATTTAAAACTTGAGTAATTAAACCAAATTTTAACAAATTTTCTCTAATAAGACTATAGCTCTGCAATTGTCGTATCAAACTCAGTCACGAAATAAATCTCCGCTGGATAAATCGTATATAGTATGAAGGAATTTAGATCGTTCTTATACAGACTGCAGCGTAAAATCCCCAGATAAAATAATACTTGTTTTTTTTTTGTGATAAGACCGTGAAACCAATTGTAAATTTTTTAATCTATAAATTTAACAACTACATATTTAGAAAGTTCAAACAATAATTCCTTATGATAGTGAAGTGTTTAAAATTTATTACAAGGTCTCCCAAAAACAATTATCTAAGATGCCAATCGCAACAATTTATCGCTTTTAATTCGTAATCGATGGCTCTGTTTAAGTCTTATAATATTGGATAAAATGTGAATCGTTCTCATGGTTTCTAAATAATTATTTAACCTTTTAAAAAGACCATAAAATGATACACTGAATTCAATTTAGATGTTAGATACGATTGTTTGTGTTTATTTTATTGTTACATAAAATAACAAGGCCTTTTATTCAGATGTATATTTTTTTATGCAAACTGACGTCCCACGTTTTGATGAAAAGTGGTAACTGTCACCTATAGATTAAAGATAGTAGGTACCTATATATTCTATTAATGTCTATAACATTTATAGGATAATGAACATCATAGACGTGTAACTATAATATCGCTCATGCGTTGCCATTCCTGAGGAGTATAATATGCCTACGTACCCTGCCATATATGGGATACAGCATGTAAATTTTTTTATACAACTTAGAATGGCAAACAAGCTGACGGTTTACCTGATGGCAAGTGATAACTGTCGCCTATAGACATGAGCAGTACCATGGACATAACAGAGTATACTGTTTCGCCCATGATACCCCCCATGCGTTGCCATTCCTGAGGGCTCAGGTGTTATTCCTCTGTATCCAGTAAATTCAAATAATAATCCTTTAAATTACCTTTAAGTTATGCATATACCATGAAAGAAGATAAATAAAAATTGAATAGTAACACCGCCTGCACTAATGGTATAACCTGAGAGATGATAGATGGGGACGAAGTCAAAGTTGGCTCATTATGTCAATTTAACCAGTGACCGGTCATTAGTTAACGACGATGATTTGCAGGGGTCTTGCGTGGGAGTGACCCGACAATGTATATTTTTTTTAATGGGTGATAATGAAATTGTATCTTCGCCTGCGCTATCGGTATTCGCTGGCGTGGTACCAATGAAGAATGTTAGGTTAGGTTAGGACGATGAAAGCCGGTCAGTTAGCCCCTCGTGATGAATTCAACGATAAATTAGTCACGATAGTTTCCAGGGGGAACCGTGTGGAGGTCGACTTGATAGGGTATTTCAATAGCAATGGAGACTAACCTCCCCATTACTAACAATCCCTTCCCTCCGACAAGGTATATTAGTAACTAGCGCCCCGGCCTTGCACAGGTCGAGAGATAAAATACAGCTTACATTAGTCGCTAACGATGTCGCTTTCTGAGAGGAGAAAGGATTGGCAATAATGGGAATTAGTATCCCTATTGCTAGCAATACACCCTGTCAGGTCGACCTCCTCGCGGTTCTGCCTGGAGACTATCGTATTCAATTCCAAGTGAATTCGTCATGATGGGCTAACTTTTCATTCTCATCTATCATCCTTCACCGGTGCCCCGCCAGCGTATACCGTTAGCACAGACGGGGTTATCATTCCATTATCATCCATTTAAAAAAAAATATGTCGTTTTCTATAAGAGAAAGAATTTTTAAAATTAGTTAAGCATTTTTAATCTATATAGTACAAAAAAATTTCATATATTTCCTCTTTATTAGTTCGGACAATAAGACCACTAAACCCCATAAAAGTAAGTCCTTTCCGTTCCATAGAAGTATTAGATCATTATGGAAATATTTTTTATTCTTTTCATTCAATTGAATAGAAATAAAAACAAACGGATATCATTTCATTTTGATAGGATAATAAAGATTCAGTATGATATTTTATTGCCTCCGCTCCAGTATCTAGATGTCGTAATGGTATATAATGATCTGAAATACTTCCCTTTTCCATTTATCTGAAATTCAATATAATTTCCATTACTGTACGTACTTGATTGTTTAAGATTTTAATTGTTGAGAATATACCTACATGTATGATTATTTCGAATAAATTGCATAACCTTTACTTGAGACACCATTTTTTTTTATACAACTTAAAATGGCAAACAAGCTGATGGCCCACCTGATGGAAAGTGGTAACCGTCGCGCTATAGACATGAGCAGTACCATGGACATAACAGAGTATACTGTTATGCCCCCCATGCGTTGCCATTCCTGAGGACTAAGGTGTTATTTCTCTGTACCCTGTAAATTCACGCCATATCCCTTCAAACCCAAACACAGAACGGTTGAAACACGAATGGGACAGAGGTACCCAAGCAATCGACTTTTGTACAAAGTATCCCTCTGGTAAATTATTTAGATACATCATCTAGCTATCCTCTGTATTATGTATAATAAAAAAAAAAGGTGAACAGGTAATAAATGCGCCGAAATTGAAACCTGAACATGACACTAAAGTAACATTTCTATAACATTTACATACAGTTCCGAGGAAATAATAAATACTGGCCATCTTTTGTATTCTTATTGCTTTAAACACTTTATGTATGCTAATATATATGTATATATACATATAATGAGAAAAGATTTGATTATTTATGTTATATAGAGAGGTGGTCCATTTTATATTATATATACCTATAAATGTTAGACAATTACGCTCAGGTAAATATGATATAGAGACCTCGAGATTGATTCTCGGTTACGCCAATTTAAAAAAAAACTTTTCTAAATGGCCCCGGATCTAGTTGGTTTTGATTTATGCCTGTACATGTTAGTTGCCTGGTTCCTCATTATATAGGGTATTTAATTCGAAGACTAGGTGCTTGATATAATTTTGCGGCACTTAATATTATTATTATTAAGTCGAATATCACGTTCGAGAAATTTCTTTGTCTATCCCATTAGCAATTACAAACGTGAATATGTTATAATACTTATTTATTTTTAAATTACAACAATATGAATTTCAGCCCTCTGCAATGAAGACCCCAATGGTAATGTACCACTAGGCAAGTCCTGCAATCGGTACTGGCAGTGCCAAGGCGGATACCCTCGCCTGCAACGGTGTCCAGCTATGCTGGTGTTCGACAGGCGGTCACTCCGATGCGTGGTGCCCCCCACTGAGGACTGTGATGTCCCGACCACGACAGCCCCACCACCGGAGGAAGAGCCTCAAGATCAGAGACCTGTAAGTAATGATTTCTGACTATGAAATTCAGTTATTTATTTATTACATTTTAATATACATAGACAGTCTGAAAGGACGACTTTACACCATATGGCGATATATTAGTCCGCGTAACCGGGATATACCGATTATCCAGGATTAACAATAGACCACGTCCTTCCTTATCCCAAATTAATATTTATATGAAAAAAAATAAACAAACTCATTTTCATATTTATAATATTAGTGAAAACACTAAAAAATAGGGTTACAGATATATTTCCATCGTAAAACAAGCTTAGAAATGAGAAATTCTCGCGTTCAGAAGAACATATATCGATATGAGACAAGCCAAGCGAAGGCAAACTCGTATAATATTGATATTCCTTATGCTCTCATGAATCGTGACGCTCTCAATACACCAGATATATATCGAATATTTCTATTCGATTATATCAGAGACGAGAATATTATTATCCACATATACAAATTAAATGGAACCTTGATTTTTATTACAGTAAGAATCCATAATGTTTTGGACAAAATTTCAAAATTAGTAATAATAGAAACTTTATTGGTTCTTAGTCCTAACCTAACCTAACAACGTAGAAAAAAAAACGTGCCCGCCAAACTCAAATGTGTACTAGACTCGCGTCATTTCGACCAATAAACATTTGTATGAAATCTATGTAACCAGTTCATTGAAATTTTTTTTTTTTTAATTTTGTTGTTGGAAGAATGGAGCTAACTCTTATTTAATATTGTGAAAAGAAAAATAATTGTTATTTATATGAAATTAGTAACATAGCATTTTTTCTAATATTATAAATTGTAAAATATTAAAATGTTACATTGCAAAAAAACAATAACCTCTACAATAATATGTTTTTTATTTTTTATTTTAGTAATAAAAAATTATAACAGCTATCTGTGAATACAAGTATGTTATACTAAGTGTATTGCAAACATAAAAAACACCATGGGCACATAATTTACTAAATAATTGCAGTACAGGACATATATGTACGGTTACCACTCCCCGCTAGGAATTATTCATCGTTTTTAGTGGAACAAAGTACTGGAGACATGACAATCAGTGTACTCATTACCAGACTAAACATTATCCATTTTATATTATAGGTGTTCAATCCACAATATTTTCGACCAGGAGTCGTCACGGCCTATCATAAGGCAAATCGCGTACGTTAAACATTCCTACATGCATCTTTAATTATTATTCACAGCACATTTTGTCACTATCAAATATTTCTATGGAATGTATGGCATGTACGGAATTATTCCATTTTTAAAAATGTCTGTTACACATTTCATACTCCTTTCCTCTACTATTCTAATAATGAATTAAATAAGTAGCTTTAAATCTGTTTTTCATAAAATAAATACTACACCATACTTTTCGTTTTTCCTCTAAAACTTTAGTCATAGAATATAGAGTAAAAAATAAATAAAAAATCAACTGATTATTTATATGACAGATGTTAGTTAAAGATTTTTAACTCCAAGTAAGATTCTATAGAGCCTCATTTACTCTGCATGTTGTGGAAGTTTTTTTTTTTTTTTTTAATTATTGCATGTTCTATATAGTAGTAACTTATATCAGCTATTATTTTTTTAATTGAACTTTGTACCTGCCTCTTTAAAATTTAAAATTTTTGTTCCCACTACTTTGCATAATTAGATACATAATAATTCATTATAATATTAAAATATTGTATTATGACACGATGATAATGCTATCATTATGTTAGCAAAGTAGATATTATGTTACACTTGCTGTTCTTCATGGTTTCATCAGTAGTCGTGTCGTAATCTTAAATAGCTAGTAATCTCCCTCATGAAATGGAATGTCAAATGCATAAAGAATTTTTTAAATCCTACTGGTAGATCCAGTGATTAATACGTTCAAACAAATTCTTCTCGCTTTATTATGGTTGTATAATATATAATAAATTATAGACGATTATATTTTGTATTCTGCGACTCAAAAACTAACGTTGTTAGTTCGAAGACGAGCAATGTAAAGAATTTGTATCATATTTGAAATTCCAAATAATTAAATTATCGAGAAGATGATTATACACCTCAGATGAATTACAATATATAACATAGCAAGTTCATTAACCTCGAAGACGCAAGTACCTGCAAAGTTAGCAGACAATATAATTAATGCCTCTGACTATACCACATCTGGGATTACGGTTTGAATAGTTTTGATAGAAAATGCAAATGAAGGCCCGATTCTCTATCTACGCATTCCCTAATTTTCTGAAGTCAAATAGTTTATATTGTTATTTCTTTATTATATACATACATTTTCAAAACTCATTCGAACTTTTAAAAATTATAAATTTTTTTTAATTACAGATCCCACAATCAAAACGGCCAGTGCCGAACGAGTATCAAGACGTGCAGAGCCGCCCTCGGCCTAGGAACTAAACTTCTAATATCTATAATCTTCTAGACGTTTCCATTTCTTCATACTTCTTTAGTCTTGGAGCTTTTCTAATTAGAATGTTGTCAAAAACTCTTTCCCACCATGCGACTCTAATTTCTTCTAAACGGTCCTATAACGATATTAGTGCATACTTGTTGTTTAGGGAAAATTTTAAAAACAAATTACAAGTAAGTAAAATTATTTAATGTAATTTTCATTGACAAAATTATAGTTTTTTTCCAAAATAATATTCCATAGATTAAGGATAGTACCCGCGAATTATTTAATTTAAAAAAGATAAGAATATGAATTAATGATTAATATGGATTAAATATGAAGAAGAAGAGAATGCAACAGATACAATCCTTAGTCTATGACAAGAATGCACTACCTACCGTTGACGGGACTCGATAAGTGTAGAAGTATTTATACTTCATTAAGTTTATTGTTTTAATTTAGTCATGTAATTAGTTAATAGTACGGTTATAAGGTTTTGAACAAAGAATACTCATATATATCGAAAACATACCTACTTTATCTAAATTACGCATCAACTGACTCGAATAGAGAATTGTTCTACATTGTCTATGCCTCTTTGTCTTTTTTCTTTTATATACTGATTATATATCGCCCTGCCAATGATAAAAAAAATATATTCAATCATTCTTAAATAAAGCAGGATAATGGTAATGTGAAATGATACAAATTACTACCATTAGGAATGAGCAGGGGACTTATTTTTGTAATGGGCATTATGTTCGTTGTTTTCGTCACCTCCCTGAAAAAAAAATTAGAAATTCGATCAAAAATTCTAATAAGTCCTTTATTAATGATGTATGTAGATGGTAAACAGAAAAAAAATCCTTTGTTAAATAATTTGTGCTTTCAAATATATTACTCTACAGGTTTCACCTACCTACGTGACATAAATTTGAAGTACGTAATTCCTGTTACAATACAATACTAGTTAAGTATGCCAAGGATAGCTTACAAACTCAATTTCGGGCCATTCTCCATCTTAGATCAAAATTTATCAAGTCTAATAAATACCTCTAAGAAATACTTATATCTGAGATAGACACGCAGTTCTTTCTGTAAGTAACTTAATATCCAAAATATTACAGTATAAGTCAATATTTATGTCGTAAGTTTATATAATTATTACAGTAAATAAAAAATTAATGAATAAGTATATTGCGTTTTTATTTCAATGTTTGTATTTTTTGAAAATTTATGTATCAATATAGAGAAAGAAGAAACCCGAGGAATAACTACACGGGACAGATAAAGGAAATACTAGCCGTCATGTCGTATAAGAAGGTCAAAGATATGGCCTTGGATAAAGCTGGCTGGAACAAAATGCTTGTTAGTTATTTGTTAAATTAGTTGTACCGACAAGAGGAAACTCAAATGGAAAGAACAAGGTATCAATATTAAATTTAAATTTCTATATTAACAATTAGAAATAGACGAGGAGTAAACGTATATGCAATATTTGAAATAAAAGAAATGTACAAAAATTTGTCATCGAATATCTATTTCAGAATTAAAAAAAAAAACTAACTCTGGCGCTTCAGTATAAGCAACATGAATCCAAAAAACCTTAATACATAGGATACATTATATATTAATTCACATGTAGTATTTATTATGTACCGTTTATATATTCGCTCTAATTGTTTAGAATGAAGTAAAATAAATTTATACCAGAAATTTAAACACACAAATAAATCCTCACGAGATACACAAACAAATGTACAGAAATATGACGCTAATCCTCGCAAACATGTTAATCTGTAGAAAAACCGTAGGTACTTACAACAATATCTGATAAGTACTTGTTCAGAGCTTATTAGATAAAGGATTACATTTATTTTATTTATCTAAGCTTCAGGATAATAAATAAATATTGAATGTCGACTAAATCACTAAATCTATGGGCTAAATTGCTTATCACTATGCAAGAAATTATACTTTTTTTTCACTATGTTTACAATTCCTTGTTCTTAGTATGTGATTATGAGTCGTCACTTTAATCCTATTTAAAGTATATAAATAAAATTGTTACATCGTATCAAATGTAGTAGTGAAACGCTATGATTGGTTTATTAATACGATGGTCAATTTTGGTGGTAGTCTTTGACCTTTATTTTTTTTTATACCACTGAGGTGGCAAACAAGCATACAACCCACCTAATTGTAAGCAATTACCGTAACCTACCGTAGCCTACTGAACTACCGCCGCCCATGGTCACCCACAACACCAAAGGCATTGCAAGTGTGCTGCCGGCCTTTTAAAAAGGAATTTGCTCTTTTCTTGAAGGTTATGATGTCGTATCGGTTCGGAAATACTGCTGCTTTAAGTTCATTAGTCTGTGTGCCTTGAAAAAAAAATATTGTAATTGTTTGTTCTTAATGATTCTAAATCTAGTATTAGCAGACTACACCTATTAATCTATGCGTAGGCACCTACGTAGTAATTTTACCTTTGTTGAACCTTTGTGAAATCAAATACCTTAATGTTTTACAAATGACGGCTCGACGCCAGTACTAACAGTGCAATGTAATTATAAAATACGTATATCTACATAAGTTATTTTATTAGAATAGAATAATTGTGACACATGTCAATAGATATTTCACATATATAAAAATTCGAACTAGCGACTGGTGGCCAGTATATAACAGTCCTCCGCCGCTATTCTGCACTGCTGGACTCCTGGAGCCGGTAACAACTGCTCCACGTGCCTACGCCACACAGCTCCCTGGTCGGTCTGTACTTCGTAGTGCAATCGTCCCAGTCTATTTACTATATTGCCAAATTCCCATTTTGGCCCGCGTACAGAGTAGCTTCTAGCCTGGACCCGGTCACCTGTTATATACATTTGTTTGACAGGAGGCCTGTTGTTCAATTCAGCTACCGCTAGTGGTGGTGTGGTACGGAACATGACATGGAGCTTGGTTCTAATGTCTCGATTGAACAGAAGCTGATATGGTGTTCGACCATTGGAGGTCGGGGTACGTCTGAGTCGTGTCTTAATGGTCAGAAGTTTATCATTAATGTCACCCCTCTCCCCCTCCATTGCACGTAGCGCCCTTTTTATTGTTTGTATATAGCGCTCCGCTTGGCCATTAGTCGCTGGATGGTAGGGAGCTGATTTTGAGTGTTTTATACCACAGTTGGAAAGGTAACAGTCGAATTCTTGAGATATAAACTGTCGTCCATTATCTGATACTAATGTATGTGGTATTCCAAATATAGTGAACAGTTCTTTCAGTTTAGTAATACACCACGAACTTGTAGTAATCTTAGTAGGATAGATTTCAACCCACTTTGTGAAGGCATCTATGACAACTAAAAGTTGGTAACCCTGTACAGGTCCGGCAAAGTCGATATGCAGTCGTTGCCAGGGTTCTGTAGGTTGCTCCCAATGGTGTAGTGGCGCTTTTGGGGGTTCATTCTGTTGTAATCGACATGCTCTGCAAGATTTTACCTTGTTTTCAATATCTGTGTCTATATTTTTCCAATATATGTAACTGCGTGCTAATAATTTCATTTTAAGAATACCAACATGTCCTTCGTGTAGTTCGTCAAGAACACGGCTACGTAGGCTGTGCGGTATTACAACTCGGGTTCCTTTCAAAATGCAATTGTCTTGAAGTGTAAGTTCGTTATCGTTATAGCCATGTTGTCGTACTGAGTGACCTGTTTTTAGTGCTTCCAATAATATTTTAAGTTCTTCATCTATTTTTGTTTCTCTAGCTATAAGTTCTGGTCGGACATCAAGCGTATTAATTTGTTGTTGTTGGAATGTGCAGTGTTGATCTCTAGAATTTTCTTTTACATATTCCACTGGAAATCTTGATAAATAATCAGCATTTGAATGTTTTGATGCCGGTCTGTATTCTACATCGTAATCAAATCCTGATAGAAAATGTGCGTAATGGAACAGTCTCATTGTGCTTAGGGCTGGAAGTGTGTGGTGTGGGTGAAAGATTGAGGTAAGAGGCTTATGGTCAGTTATCAGTGTGAACTTCCGACCGTAGCAGTAGTGAAAAAATTTTTTTATACCCCAAAAGATGGCTGTAGCTTCTTTATCGATTTGACTATATTTCTTTTCGCTAGTTGAAAGTGATCGAGAAGCAAATGCGATTGGCCTTTCAGATCCATCCTTTAGTTTATGAGATAAAACAACTCCTAATCCTGTTGGAGAAGCATCCGTGGCTATTATCAATGGTTTTTTGGGATCGAAATGAATGAGTACTCTTTCACTCAATATCTCCTGTTTAATTTTATTAAAGCTTGTCTCACATTTGGAGGACCATTGAAATTCCTTTTCTTTCTTTAGTAATTCATTTAGGGGATTTGTTATTGAGGCTAAGTTGGGTATAAATTTATTGTAATAATTCGCCATACCAAGAAAGGTTCTTAATTCATTTACGTTTTTTGGTCTCTCTGTTTTCATAATGGCCTTCACTTTGTCTTTATTTTTATGTAGTCCATCTTCATCTATTATATGTCCTAGGTAATTAATACTTCGCTTAAAAAAGTTGCATTTTTCTCTATTGACGCGCAGGTTACTCTCTTTGAGTTTCTGAAGAACTTGTCTCAGTCGTGATAGGAGTTGATCTTCTGAGGTTCCTTGAATAATAATGTCATCAAAAAAGCATTTGACTCCATCTAGTCCCTGAAGTAATTGATCCATAAATTTTTGCCATAGGCTAGGTGCTACCTTAACACCGAACATCAATCGATTTACTTTATAAGTTCCCTTGTGTGTGCTTAACGTTTGTAGAAGGGCGCTTTCTTCATCCATTTCTAAATTTAGGTAGGCTTGTTTGATATCTAAGGTACAGAAGTATTTCCCTCCATTCATTTCTGCGAATATGTCTTCAATTATGGGGATTGGGTATTGTTCATCCTTGATACATTTGTTAAGGGTTACCTTATAGTCTGCGCATAAACGGATAGTGCCGTTAGGTTTTATGATCGGTACGATTGGAGTTCCCCATTCCGCATGGTCCACTTTAGTTAAGATTCCTTCTGAACATAGTCGCTCTATCTCTACATCAACTTTTTCCTTTAAAGCATACGGTATACGACGAGGTTTAATAAATATAGGTTGTATATTATCCTTGAGATTCAGATGAGCTTGGTAATTTGGTATTTTTCCTAAGTCGGTCCTAAATACAGTGTTCGTATATTCTTCTAATAATTGATCAAGATTCGTAGATGGTTCTGAATTTCGTATTATATTGATATCTGATAATTTTATTGTAAGTTCTTTCATCCAGCTTCTGCCAAAAATTGCGTCAACGTCTTGGTTGATTATATATAATTTTCCATTAAAGGTCTGATCTTTATATGCATATTTGACGTAAGCAACTCCTGAGGGTTTAATAATTTCTCCAGTGTATGTTCTTAATCTCATATCAGTTTTGAATATTCGGTTTCTGATATTCAATTTCTTGAATTGTTTCAGGGATATTGATGACAATGTTGCTCCAGTGTCAAATTCCATATTGATTGGTATGTTCTCAATTTTTATTGGGATCATGTATTTTTCTGATATTTCACTTTTCATGAGATTAATATCCCCCGTGTTGTCATCACTCGTATTACTTGTCGTATCATCTAATTTATTCATATTTAGGTTTCTTTGTAAACAAACACGCGCTAGATGACCCGTTTTGTTGCACTTCATGCAAATGGATTTTAGAGCACCACATTCTTTAGACTGGTGGTCATTTTTTCCACATCGGTAGCATTTTCCTTTCAATTCTTTTATTGTTATTGGTAGTCTTCGATTTTGTATTTGAGATGGTGATGTATTAGCATAATTACTTTTATTTGTTATATTTGTAATTCTATTGAGGCTGTCAGAATATCTGTGGATGTCTGTAGACATTCGTATGTTTTCCGATTTTCCCATTTCCATGGATGTAGCTATTTGTACCAATCTCGTAAAAGGTGGAGTTTCTCGGTCTTGTAGGATTCTTATTCTTATATCACTGTCCTTCAATCCTCGGATAAATTGCAGTGATATGAAGCTTTCTAAGGTTGGTTTATGGCAGTTTTGACATTTGAATTCACAGTTGTTGGACAATTTCTTTAATTCGGAGGCGTACATTGCTACTGTTTCATCCTCTTTTTGTACCCGTGTAATAAATTTATGTTGTAATGCCCATACA